CTAATGATAACCTCAGGTCATGGCTCTGGGTTAGGGAACCCCCGATGTAAATATAATTTCACTCTTCAGTGGTCACAAGCTGGAAATGCGGGAAGCATAGAGCAGATTGGTGTACGAGTATAGCTTCATTTGCTGTCTCGGGTTCTTGGTTGTAAATCAGAATCAATGGAATTCTCTGTGCAAGATCTTTAATTCATTTATCAGACCTTTGTAATGTGTAATGAACCTGGGTTATATTAAAATTCAGTTTTTAAGTACTTCAGTGATTTATTTTTTGAGGTCTGAACCTTTCAGTCAAGTGTCATGGGCAAGCTGTTTAAGATAAAACCACTGAACATAGTTTCAAGAGTAGAACCTGGTTAAAATTCTCATTAACCTTATTACAATTTTAATCCTATTACTTTGAACTTCATAAAAGGTGTGAGGTTTTCACAGTGGCTACTGTTCAGATATGACCTTTTGGGTTGTGACACTGCATTCTTGTAGGCAGATGCCCCACCCCTTGCATTAAAATGTGATACTTCACACTTGACCCCAGAATATGCAGGCACCATTGCCTTAAAAATGTCTGTATTTGACTTTTGTATATACAGATGTAGAAGTTTTATATCTGTTAATACTATTGCAGAAAACAATGGTTATAGGAGAGAAATAGCACTTAGAATAAAATTACAAACATGCCATTAGCAAAACGAAAAATGAGCTACATTTAGATATCCAGGTTGTTATACATGGCATTGCAGTCCTGAAAATACCAAGAAAACTATTTCAAACAAGAAAGTACTGTTAAATTCAAAACTATGTAAATTTATAATATGAGCCTGCCAAAGCTAGTAAGGAGGACAAGCAGGACATATCCCTTTCATTTGTTACAAAGAACACACACATGACATTAAAAACAAAAGATTCAGGATTTGCAAGACAGGCTAAAGAATGCAGCAGCACTGAAATATTGAAGGTACAAGGAAGAATATACCCCCCAAAAAAACAGTTGATAAATAATGTTTTACAGTGTAGAGCCAGTTACCATGCAAATACTGTGAGATGGGTGGATATGCCAGGGATGTTTCTGGGCAATGGCTTGTTAAACACGTTTTTGCTGCAACAGATATGAACGCAACAATGGAAGAGCTGTGTTTTCTGTGACAAGGTTAGTGTTTAGTAATGTATGGGAGTCTGAGGAGAGAGGTCTTGAGCCTGGAGGTAGAGAAGTAATTGTTGGAACTGTTACCAGAAAACTTCTTGTAACAGACAGAATGCTGGACAGTGTCCTCTAGTGAATTGTAGGGCTGTGCCATAGCTGAAGCGCTTAGTCACCGACTTTCCACTGCTGCAGCCTGGGTTCAAACCCGGGTCTGGTGAAGTGGGATTTGTGGTGGACAAAGTGGTGCTGGGGCAGGTTTTCTCCGAGTACTTGGGTTTCCCCTGCCAATCTTCATTCCACCAAATTCTCGATCACCATACTCACCTGGGGCAGGCTACAATAGGCCAATCAGTGGCCACCATGCCAAGTAGACCCAGTTGAACTCCACCCCCCCACTAAGTGAATTTAAAATTTAGTGAACTCTAAGGTGTGGAAATAGTGATAGTGTTGTAGGTATTTGTAGTTATGACCTGTAAGTGGTCAATAAATCCATTCACCAATCCAAACCCCATCTTTATTCACACATACTGCACATGGCAATATGTAAAAGAGAATTCAATCCATGGAGCCAAGTCCTTGAGAGGCCACAGTTGCTCAGCTACTGAAGAATTCCCCAGCGTGTGGAATCCGAAGGTTCATTTCCATGTTCACAAGAACCTTACCCTGGTCCCTATCCTAAGCCAGATTTATCCTGTGAGTGGCACCCCATTCTGTTTTTTGTTTTAATATCCTCACAACTATATTTAGGTCATCCTGGTACCCATTTCCATCAGCTTTTCCACCAAAACCCTATATGCATTGTCCTCCATGGGTGCTACATGCTCTACCCATCCCATACACTTTCACTTGGTAATTATAATTATATCCAGCAAAGAGTACAAGTTATGAAGCTTATGGGGTTGTCTCCAACTTCCCATTATTTGATCCCTCTGGGTCTAAATGTTTGCAGGATATGGTTCTCACCCTGACTGGAGACAGGAAGAAGGAGGTAATAACCTCTTTGAAATCTCCCTTGCTCTGCATGTGGAAGTGATATTCCGATCACACACTAGTTTGTACATCACCCATGTCCACTTTCCACTCTGGTCACAATAGGGATGTAGGAGTAGTAATGTGTTGGAGGCACTGCAGTAACATGGTTATTTGCGCTGTGGGCATGTTGCAAGACGCACAGACAGGTAACATTAATAGAATATGAAAAGAGGTAAAGTTTATACATGTACAATCCTTAGCTATATAACTGACAGCATAAAATGTGGTCATCATTCATACTATGTTACATTTTCAAGCCTTTATAAACGTTCACAAGTCTATTATGCATAACCCTCAGCATTACATTTGCAAGAGTGAGAGAACCATCTCAAAGTGTTTATTGACTTAATTCAGGCATATCCAACGCATCAATTGTGGGACGATTTTTGGTTGATCTCATGGGCCCACAAGGAAGTTATACGCATGCAGTAACAGGAGCAAAAAACAACACAGAACACGATACACAAATATATGTAGGAAGAATGCTCACATAAAAGAGGATTGGCGTAATTCGCGTGTTTGAGTGCAACGTAGGAAGAATCTTGAAAAGTTTTATTATTTAGAATTCATCGTCGTATATGACGAATACATATTTTAGTCATTTTAGAATGAAAACATTATGGCATGCAGTACAATAGTTTAACGTGCATAAGCACACCTGAAGATGGCACATTAGTGCTGAAACATGTAGTGTGGAAGTGAAGAATAAGGTGGATAAATGTATACACTGTAAGACGGTCAGCATAAACCATGGACAAGTTATACGTGAAGAGCATGTAAATTCACTTGTAATATAAAATAAGAAAGATCATAGCTACTATTGAAGATCTTTGATTATCAAGAAACACCATTGTGCAGCGAATAGAAATGATATGTGGAAACATCACTGAACAGTTGTTGAAGGATGTTTCCAGTTGTGTTGCTTTCTCCCTCTAACTGGATGAATCTACAGATATCAGAGACAGTCTAGTTACTAGTTGCTTTTACATCATGTGTTATGTTATTTTTACCAATATTTTTGCTTAAAGCGAGATACGACAATAGGAGGGTGTGGTAGATCACTGGCAGTTTTGACACTAAAAAGTTGATCACAACCTGTTTGAAGTTGGATATGCCTGACTTACCGCATGCTCCCAGGGGCTGTGATGATGTAAATAAGTAATGCTCCATCGAAAGTGCTCTTCTGTCTCATGCAACCCCCTTACCACCTAGCTGATGTCCCCTAAAATTACAGCGCGTTGCAAAGTACGGAAAACGTTTCTTCAGTACAACCCCAGATATTCTTAAAATCTGGCATTTGCAGACAATTTGCCGTTAAACTCCGGTACTTTCAGATAACGAGAAATTGTAGTAAGAACTTATCACCTACTTTCTTTTCCTACATAGAAAACGACGCCTCCAAGAATTCTTCTATTGTTGCATGTATTCTTCGGCACGGCGACGTGTATACGGAGCCGTTACCTAGCAACAAATTTGAGGGATTCAACTATAGATACACAGACTAATGAGTCGGGTTTACGAAGCACGCCGTTGAGATAGGTTCATGTGCTATTGCAAACACACCAAGTTTCATAAAATTTCGTTGAGACGTTCATAATTTGGGAAGGTGATCTCATAAACATACATTTACTTTTTCAAAATAAGGAACATAGACTAGAAACTATATTTTTTTCAGAGACTCGGAATACATAGCATTGAATGACAATGTTTAGCGAACACTGAATTTGAGAGGCTGTGGAAGGAAGCTTCCGTGACTTGGTTTGAAGTATTCTCACGGCATTTGCTTGGTAGGTCTGAAGAAAACCAGGAACAAGCTATTCTTATTTGCGCTTCTTCTTTATACGATTTGCATTTGTTACTTAAAACGTTGCATCGGTTTTCAGTCTCCTCCGCTGTAGAGAAGTTACGTTACTGTATGAGTGTCTTTCTACTCCAGCTTTGAGCGCCGTCACCCTACTGCAAGCCTCGTCCTGGCCGCACGCAAATTTTGTCAGCTATTCTTGTTACCCGCAATTGTCCGTTCCGAGGATTCATGTTTGCTTTCTCCTCCATGTCTAAGAGATGCATATTGATCCTCTGTGGGTTCATGTTCATTATTTCTGCCATTTCATATTTACGCTTCTGTGTCTTAAGCTAGCTGTACGTGTACGTGTGGCACGTGCCACTCCTTGGTGTGAAACTGCTGGCCAGAAGAAAGATAATAGATTCATCTACGAGTTAAATTTTGGGCCCCCTGAGCAAATGGAATTTTCTTAAGAAGTTTCACATGGCTGAGTTTGTGCCGAGACCACCAAAGTAGGTAGCCTACCAAATAATGAACGATTTTATTTTTTCTGAACAAAGAACTGTTTGAGGGTTTCACAGCCGTGAAGATTAATTCTGAGGTATTCTGAGTTATGTCTCCCTGTAGTCTGCTATGTGGGTACCCATCAGACAACACGCATTATAACCCCAAAAATCACTGTATCAACGAACCCTCTGCATATTCGAGGATGCATGCCGTTTCCAGCCTCCGATCGGAGTTATATGGCCAGCCGATATTAGCTTCATTTCATCTAAATGGTGATTGGAGTTCCTCGGTTTGTAATTCCATCTATAACCCAGCGCATGGCTCAGCTTACACCGTAGCGTGTTAATTTCTTTCTGAACATTTCCTCTCTTCCCTGGTCGTAGCCGGAATAGCTCAGTCAGTTTAGCGACGGGCTCCAGACTGGACGACCGAGGCTCGATTCTTGACAGGGGAAAAGATTTTTCCTTTCCCCACAGCGACAACACCCGGCTCTGGGGTCCATCGAGCCTCGTATCCAGTGGGCCCCGGGGCTGTTTTTCCGGACCTAAAGCGGCCTGGGCGTGAAGTTGATCACTCACCTCCCTCTAGTGACGAGATATTTAGGTCTTCACGACAGATGTCCATTATTCTCCAATATGTCCTTTTGCCTCCAGGTTTTCCCTTTGATCTCCTCTAAATCAGTCTGTACCTCTTTCACTAGCCATAAAGTGGGCATTATTACTTTCCTTCTCCTTTATGGCTTACCTCCAAACATTTTCTTTACTGCTCTGCTTTGGTGTACACCGAAAACATCCCAAAGCCACTACTTATTATAGAACATTTTCAAACGGCTTGTTAGATATTGTTACAGCTGTGCCATTGATTATGAATTGGAGACTTTTCCTGCAGGCCTCTTCGGTATAGTCTAAAATTATTATCAGACAACGCGAATCAGGACAACAGGCGCTCCAATCCAATCTACCGAGCACAAAACAGGTTTAGAAATATTGCGAGTTGAGCCAACCTCATTGGCTTTGACTCGTTAATTGCAGCCTTAATGCCACAGCTAATAAGTGTCGAAAATTCCACTTTATAAAAATGCTATACCTGGCAGTTTACGCAGGTTGTTTCATTTTATCTGAATTACATAAGCAAAAATTATTTTGAGCGATTATCTTCCAGCACTTGAAATTCTTAGGGAGTTTCTTTA